ACGAGGCAAAATCCGCGACCACGAGATGGAGAATCTATAGGCATTGAACCCAATTTGATGCAGTAAACCCACATCTTCCTTGTAAAGATGGTAAGAGTCATCTGCAATAGATCCGTTGCTACCATCTTTTATCTTTTGTGGGTATTTTTCAGAGAACGTATCCCATATACTAGGTCCTCTACCATCTTCATGAGCAGCTCCTTCGACCTGGTACGCAGAGGTTGCAGCTCCGAAAATGAAATCTTCTGGGAAATCATATTTTCTTAATTTAGGTGTTGAAGAGTGTCTCTTGGCAACAACTTCATTGGAAGCCAAGACAATGAACACTAGTAAACAAAAATATTTATTTGTCATTCTTAAATTTCTTTTGATAATTGAATCTTGTTTTGTTGTAAGAAAATGAATTAAGTTTAGATTTATATAGGCAAGAGATTTGTTTTTTTTATTGGGTATGTGAATCTATAAATAGAAAATAGTGTAACAAATCTTTTAAATTTTACTTCTTCATAATTAGTACTATATATTCAAATGATCTTATCTAGTTATCTTTCTAATAGGGTACAAATAGAAAAACATTTGTAAATGTTTTCTTTTTTTTCTTGTATCGATTATTTATTTATTTTTAACAACAATTTTGTAAATCATGTCCACAATATTTCAAGTAACTCTCTCAAGACTTAAATCATAAATACGAGATAAGATCATTATGAATAATATAAAAAATCTGTATAAGTATCAAAATAGTTTCAGAAAATCGTATGTGTGCATCTGCATAAAGATGATCAAGTGTCTATTTGCTTGTTAATGTAGGTATCTTAATGAAAAACCAATTTTTTTTCTTCTTCTTCTCCTTTCTTTTTCCTTTAAGCTTCGCCTAAGATCTTTACCAGTTGAGCTAACGACACTTGGTTTTTCTTCTCTTTATGTTACAAGACTTTTCTCTCTTGCTACGAACATTCTCCCTTTATTCTCTCATCATTCTTGTAAAAGCAAAGAACATGAGCATAAAATAAAATTAACTAAGTTCGGAATGTGCATACATCCTCGAAACATCCACTAGATATCATTTAGAGTATATTTACAACCAAACTTCCCCTACTTGATATTACTTGACACTAATACATTTCTTAACTTGGCACAAACCAAATCTAGTTACACAAGGGGTAGGACCAAACGTGGTTCCAACACACATTTCTAACAATAACCGACTTGCCTACTTGAGACTAAAACAAACAAAGCATTATTCTTTATATAGATTCGGCTAACCTGAATAGCACAAGCCTCCCTTCGTATATATAACCGTATTACATGGAGGTGTTCTATCCGGGTTTCAATTCGGATTCAATTGATTTTTCTGTTTTCTGGATTTTCAGTTCATCCGTAATGGACCTACCTTTTCTCAAAGTTCAACCACTAGATGAAAGTTCCGAGATGGAAGTGAAACTTGTTGAGTTGTAGGTTTTTTTTTTTTTTTTTTCCTATTTTTGAACAAAAATTGAGTTGTATAGTTAAGACTTTGAAATATGAGGCCGAAATAAAACTAATGGTTGGAGTGACAGAGACTTGGGTTTCACTCTGGATCAATAATGGGCCGACTCATTTCAGTAGGAAGTACTTGGAGTTTTTTTCTTTTGTACTACACGCATGTACTACTTTCTTTCATCTCACATCCAATAGAGTACTACTCCAACACACAAAACTGAAAACTCCCAAAATTTTGGTAGGATACTGGATACAAGATTACAAAACATAGAGAAAAAAGAACGGACCAAAACTAATCGTGCACATAAAGATCTCAATGAATTTAATAAAATTTTTTTTTTCTTCGATACGATTTAAAACAAAAATAGCATCCTCTAAACGAACATTTTGCATGAATTGAAAACCAATTTGAATTGAAAACCAATTTGAATTGAAAACCAATTTGAATTGTTCAAATATTTTATCATCAGTACCTCTAAACGAACATTTTGCATGAATTGAAAACCAATTTGAATTGTTCAAATATTTTATCATCAGTAACTATTTTTATGCAAAATGAAATTTACATGCAAACAAACATTTTAATTTAATATATTTACAATAATTTTTGTCTGTATTATTTGTTTGCTAATTGACTTTTTTTACACCTGCCTAACAATCTCCCTTACACGTAATGAACTTCCAAATTACACGGAGAAGCAACCAGCCCTATTGACACGTGTCACCACTGCACCAACCGGTGGTGCATCACCCTTAGCTAATCCGGCTAACTCCAAACGTCGATGAGCCGACGGACGGGGAAGATTCTCCGGTACGATAGTCTCTAGCGAGTTCTCAAGCCAAGGCGGACACGTCCTCTTGTCACTCCACCGCCGCGGAGGCACCACACCCGCCGCCATCTCTTCTACCGGCGATTTCACAACCACCGCGTCCACTGATGCCACATCATTGATCTGAATTGCGCCGATTATTACAGTCGCCGCCACGCCAAAGACAAGAGAACACTTGTTCTTCCGTGGCTTTGTCTCATCTTCTGTTCTCTTACTAAACAATAAAAAAACAAAAATGATCTTTAATATGTGAAATGATCATGTAAATAATGATATTTCATGAATAGGAGAAGTACCAAGAGATCTTTGACGTTGTCTTGAGAAGTGAAGGTAATGATTGTGCAGAATTTGAATATAGGGGAGGAAGATTTAAACAGCAGCTTATTCTCCCTGCCATTGTTGTTATTCCTCTGTTTTGGTTTTGGTTTTGGTTTTGGTTTTGGTTTTTTTTTTTTTTTTTTTTGAGAATCCACCTAAAGCTAAGGGTGAGATAGAGGTGGGCTACTTGGAGATATATAAAGCTAATGATGTCCAAACCCGCCCCGCCGTGGGCTATTTGGAAATATATATGATTAGATCCTCACAATAGACGGCTTTAAAATAAAAATAAAATAATTTGAAGTTCTTAACACAGAAAATTATCATGAATATTCCATTTTTAAGTATATAAAAAGTTACTTAGTATAACTAACAAATAAATAAATTATGATGTGAAAATGACTCAAAACATTTTGTCAAATGTAAAGGTAATCCACCTATATTCTTTTTTCATGCAAAAATAACTCAAAATAGGAAAAATATAGAATCACCTTTAACTGTAATTTTTCGTTTATTTACATAGCGTAAAAGTTTGAGCTCTATTTAGATTCGGATGACAAAAAAAAAAAAATACATAGTGTAAAAGTAAAAATATTTATCCAATATTCAAAATGTGATGGCAATATTGTCAATATGATTTTTGTATGGGTAAAAGAAGTGCAAATAGTTCCTTTTGAAAGAATTGTTTTGGCTATGTTACATTTGTAACTAAATGTTTTGAGTCATGTTTGCAACTCCTTGTAAAATATGTAAATCAACACATTTTTTTTTTCATCGTGTTTAGGTTGCATGTATTGTTTTATTGAGTCATTAAACATTTTAAGAGTTTAAGATAATTTTTACATATTTTGGGTCTATTTTTATGACCATTTTATGTAGGTCTGGGCAAAAACCCGGAGTGAAACCGATCCGAAAAAACGGTTTGGGGTGGGTACGGGTAAGAGGATATTACTTGATTGGGTACAGTTTTGGTAAACCCGTGAATATCGGGTCGGTTCGGTATTACCCGTTACCCAAACAAGGTACCCATCAACCCGATCAAAGACATACGTATATACACTTATATAGATATATAGTCTTATAGATTTATAGTTTTTTACCAACGTTGCCTTTGGAAGATGAGCTTATGAGAGGTAATTAATTCCCTTTGAACTCTCTTTTAATTATGTTTTACCAATTTCAATTTACAAGTTTGATTCTAATTTGTTTTTCTTTAATTTGTCAATATTCTAAAGAGTTTGAACCTAAATTCCACATCCATAGTTTTGAGTGAGTCACTGAATGACTAAGGTAAGTAATTGACAATTTGACATTATATTTCATAATTCATACATTCTTTATATGTAATTCATACTGAGATTGACATTTGTTTGTTTCTTTTCAGGAGACAAGAGATCAAAATTCAAAACAAAGTCAACATTCATTGTCTCATTCTCAATCAACTTCCAGTTTGCTATAATCCTTATTCCTACTTTTCTTTCTAATTCTATGATTTTCATCTTCGGATTTTCGTATGCAGTTTGTTAGTTAGGTACTTTTGTTTAAGGAGTTTAAGCTTCTATTTGAGATTTAAGGAGTCTAAGTACTACTTTTTGTGCCTTTAGTTTGGATTTGGATGTTTAGTTTGAAGATATATTCTCTTTTTTTTTGTTTTTTTTTTTGTGAATTGGGCATGTAAAAATGTTTGAATGTATGGGTATTTTTGTGAGATCTCGGTTTTATGGGTAGATTTAGTCTAATTTCGGATAATTTTTACCCAATCCGGAAAGTATTCGCTAAATCTTTTTGGCCAACGAATTATAGTTGTGTGCAGGGTGATTTGTGGCTATATATATGTCTTGATCTCATCGTTTCATGTCATTATTAGTTGCAAACAACCCTTAGTATAATAACTTGAGTAGGATAAATATTACGCACACAAAAGTGGACTAATCTAATTCTGTGTCTAATAGAGTATGGTTTAGTTAAACCGTACATTGAGTCTGTAATTGAACTGGTATGATGTAAACCGGATTCTACTTAGTATATAAATAGAGTCTGAGTCAATGTGAAGATTAAGATGAATAACAGAAAGAATGTTTTCACGTTTTCTCTCTCGATTCTTCCATAACAAATTTTCTTCTATCATGGTATCAGAGCGTTGAATTCCAGAAAATTCAACCGATTCTTCCATTGTTTCCGTTTGTTTGAGCTTGATTCTTCGATGTTTCTTCTCTATTGATTCTTCTTTCGATCGATTTCTCCGGTTGTTTACTGGAAATCGTTGTATCGATAAAATTCTTCTTCAGATCTTCATCGCGACTTCAAATTCCGATGGCGATCATACGAAAATTGAATCGTCGCACGGCTCGCGTAGCGTCTTCAGCTCGTCGACCGGTAAATCGCGAGGATTCTCCAGAAAGTTCAACTCCACAGTTGATCACTCAAGGTTACGTTTCTTCGATTGATTCTCCAGATAGTATTCACTCTCCGTTTCATCTTACGCATAGTGATAATCCTGGAATCTCGATTATATCTACTGTTCTTAATGGTACAAATTATGATGATTGGAGTATTGCGTTGAAAACTTCGTTAGATGCGAAAAATAAACTTGCATTCATTGATGGATCCATTCCGCGACCTGCTGAATCTGATCAGATGTTTAGGATCTGGTCACGTTGTAATAGCTTGGTCAAGGCTTGGATTCTGAATGCAGTTTCAAAGCAGATATACAAAAGTATTCTCAGGTTTGATGATGCTTCAATGATTTGGAAGGATTTGTACACTCGGTTTCATATTACAAATATTTCCAGATCTTATCAATTATCTCAGCAGATCTGGTCACTACAACAAGGATCGATGGATTTGGCTACATATTACACTACTTTGAAGACTCTTTGGAATGATTTGGATGGAGCTAATTGTGTGAAAATTTGCAGGAATTGTGATTGTTGCAAGGCAATGGGACAGAGAACTGATAATTCTCGTGTGATTAAGTTTCTTGCTGGTTTGAATGATTCTTATTCAGTCATTCGCAGTCAAATAATCATGAAGAAACACATCCCTGAGCTTTCTGAAATATACAACTTGTTGGATCAGGATCACAGTCAGAGAAATCTCACACCAGTTCAGAATGCTGTGGCTTTTAATGTTGCTGCTTCAGAATCAACATCAGCTTCTGTGAATGCTACTTACAATCATTCCAAAGGTCCAAAAGTGATTTGTTCTCATTGTGGATATACAGGTCATACAGTTGATAAGTGTTACAAGATTCATGGCTATCCACTGGGTTTCAAACACAAACATAAGAATCAGTCTGACAAGTCTTCTGATCGACAGTCTCTTCCTGCTAAACCAGTTGTTGCTCAGCTTGCTTTGACAGACTCTTCTACTGGTGATTTGTTTACAGGAATGGCTAAAACTCTCACTAAGGATCAGATTCAGGGGGTTCTTGATTATTTTAATTCTCAGTTTCAGGCTAATTCCATTCAAGGTCCTTCTACTTCAGTTGCTTCTACTTCAGGTCCTTCTTCAGGTGCTACTATTACCGCATTGCCTGGTATGGCTTTCTCTTCCTCCACTCTTCATTTTGTTGGAATGTTGAAGGCTACTGGTAATGTTCTATCATCTGAATCATGGATCATTGACAGTGGTGCTACGCATCATGTTTGTCGTGATAAAAACCTTTTCACAAGTTTGAATGAAACTCTTAATAACTCTGTTACTTTACCTACTGGTTTTGGAGTTAAAATCACAGGAATAGGTACAGTGAAGTTGAATGAGTTTCTGTTCTTACATAATGTCCTATACATTCCAGATTTCAGATTGAATCTTCTTAGTATCAGTCAACTAACTAAAGATTTGGGATGCAGAGTGACATTTGATGAAGCTTCTTGTCTCATTCAGGATCCTATCAAGGGCTTGATGATTGGGAAGGGTGAACAGATTTCAAATCTTTATGTCTTGGATGTTAAGACTGTTATCAATGATTTTACTCCGCAGATTTCATATTCTACAAATGTTGTTGTTGATTCTAGCTTATGGCATAATAGGCTAGGTCATCCCTCTGATTATAGGAGTGACATTATTTCAGATGTACTTGGTTTTAAACAAAGGAATAAAAAGGCTTTTCATTATGCTATTTGTCCACTTGCAAAGCAGAAACATCTCTCTTTTCCTTCCAAGAACAACATTTGTGAATCTGCATTTGAATTGTTACACATGGATATCTGGGAACCATTTGCAACTTCTACAGTTGATGGCTATAAATATTTTCTCACCATTGTTGATGATCATACTAGAGTCACTTGGGTTATTTGTTGAGGAATAAGGCTGAAGTGTTGCGTGTTTTCCCAGATTTCTTAAAGATGATTGAAGTACAGTTAAAGCTGTAGTCAAGGGTGTAAGATCTGATAATGCACCTGAGCTAAGGTTTGTAGAGTTGTTTAAACGCAAAGGTATAGTTCCTTATCATTCCTGTCCAGAGACACCAGAGCAGAATTCTGTGGTTGAGCGTAAGCATCAGCACATTTTGAATGTTGCTCGCTCCCTCATGTTTCAGTCTAACATACCAACTGAGTATTGGGGAGACTGCATTCTCACAGCAGTGTTTCTGATTAATAGGATGCCTACTCAACTTCTCAAGGACATGTCTCCATATGAGGTGTTAAATAAAAGGAAACCTGATTACAGAGACTTACGTGTCTTTGGTTCTTTATGTTACAGCTCTACATCAACAAAAGGACGAACCAAATTTCAACCAAGAGCAAAGCCTTGTGTCTTTCTCGGCTACCCTGCTGGTTATAAAGGATACAAGTTACTTGATTTGGAGTCTCATTCTATTCATATTTCACGGAATGTAATTTTCCATGATACCATTTTCCCTTTTATCAAAGGTGACTCCACTTCTGTTTCAGACATTTTTGGCAGCATTGATGAGCCTACAGATACTAGTTATTCTGATAGTATTGAACCTGTAGTTGTGAGTGATGAATCTCCTACAGTGCTTCATAGTGTAGATCCTGCGGTTGTGAGTGTTGAATCTCCTGCAGTGAATCCTACACGTGTTGAGTCTGTAGTCTTGAGTGGTGAATCTCCTACAGATCTCAACACTACTTCAGACCCTGCTCCTGTAGTCTCGGCTCCCACTAATGTATCAAGAAATGAAAAGCGTTCTAGTAAGGCTCCCTCTTACTTAACTGATTACTACTGCAACTTGACTTCTTCAGGGGTTACATATCCCATTGCTGATTATATGAACTATGACAAGCTTTCTGAGCCATATCGAGCATACATCTGTTCTGTCACTAAATATGCTGAACCAAGCTCTTTCTCTCAAGCCAAGAAATCAGATGATTGGTTAAAAGCTATGAATGCAGAGTTGCAGGCTCTAGAGGGTACAGCCACATGGGATATTGTTTCTTTGCCTCAAAATAAACATTCTATTGGTTGCAAGTGGGTGTACAAGGTGAAACTAAATTCAGATGGAAGTCTGGAGCGCTATAAGGCACGTTTAGTGGCCAAAGGTTACACACAAAAAGAAGGGATTGATTTTGTTGACACATTTTCTCCTGCAGCAAAAATGACAACAGTTAAGACATTGTTAGCTGTTGCAGCTGCAAAGAAATGGAGTCTTCATCAATTAGATATCTCCAATGCCTTTTTAAATGGTGATTTGGATGAAGAAATTTACATGAATTTACCTCCTGGATATACACCAAAAGAGGGGGAAACTTTGCCTCCTAATGCTGTCTGCAAACTAAAGAAGTCCTTATATGGACTTAAACAAGCCTCACGACAGTGGTTTCTAAAATTTAGTTCCACATTGCTGTCTTTGGGGTTCAGAAAGTCTCATGCTGATCATACATTATTTCTTCGAAATGTGAATGGTAAGTATGTGGTTGTTCTTGTCTATGTTGATGACATAGTGATTGCGAGTAATCATGATGAGGAAGTTGCAACACTGAAAGAAGATTTACAAAAAGCTTTTAAGCTCAGAGATCTTGGTCCTTTAAAATATTTTCTTGGCCTTGAGATTGCAAGATCAAATGCGGGAATCTCTATTTGTCAGCGAAAGTATGCTCTGGACATCTTGGAAGAAGCTGGTTTATTGGCTTGTAAGCCCTCCAGTATTCCCATGGATCCTAGCATTCATCTTGTCTCTAATGGAGATGAACCTCTGGTAGAAGACCCTGCTTCTTATCGTAGACTGGTGGGGAAGTTAATGTACCTGACGATCACTCGTCCAGATATCACTTTTGCGGTGAACAAACTTTGTCAATTCACATCTGAACCAAAAGCATCTCATATGAAGGCTGCATACAAAGTCCTGCATTATCTCAAAGGCATTGTTGGAGAGGGTTTGTTTTATTCTTCTGAATCCAACTTGATCCTTCAGGGTTTTACTGATGCAGACTGGGGAGCAGACCGTGATTACAGACGTTCTACTTCTGGTTATTGTATGTTCCTTGGCAATTCTCTGATTTCCTGGAAATCTAAAAAGCAACCAGTTGCTTCTCATTCCTCTGCTGAGTCAGAATACAGGGCAATGCAGTATGCAGTTCGTGAGATTTCTTGGCTGGTGAACTTACTTGATGAATTTCAGGCCAAGCAGACTAAGTCAGTGGCTTTCTTTTGTGATTCAGAGGCTGCTATTCACATTGCTAACAATTCCATCTTCCATGAACGCACTAAACATGTGGAATTGGACTGTCACATTGTCAGGGACAGGATTGTTAGTGGTTTGATCAAAACACTTCATATCAACACAGAGCACCAGTTGACTGATGTGTTCACCAAACCTCTCTATCCATCTCAGTTCAAGTTTCTCATTGGCAAGATGGCTCTTAAATCAATTTATGTACCATCTTGAGGGGGAATAATAGAGTATGGTTTAGTTAAACCGTACATTGAGTCTGTAATTGAACTGGTATGATGTAAACCGGATTCTACTTAGTATATAAATAGAGTCTGAGTCAATGTGAAGATTAAGATGAAAAACAGAAAGAATGTTTTCACGTTTTCTCTCTCGATTCTTCCATAACAAATTTTCTTCTATCAGTGTCTCATTATCTTGAGATTGGGCTTATTTTTTGCTCTAGAATCTTTAATTAATTGGTAATTCCCTTGACCGAAATGCTTAAAATGTGAATCATGTCTTTATTATATTGATTTTTCGGATTTACCATCTTTAGTTAATTATTGTTAGTATTGTCTTGCTATGCTCATTTTTGCATGCTTAGTAGATTTGATTAACATACTTCATGCAAGTAAACCATTCGAATTTGTGCATTTAAACCGAAAATCATCATTCCTATCTTAGCTTAAATTGTTTCTTAATAGATTAGTATGTTTCATTATTTCTTTTTGAATCGATCCTTAAATACTACACGACATATTTGTATGTTTTCCCTCGTGTGTATTGTTTAAAGGAAAAACTTCGTTGTGTCTCTCAACATATTTAAGCAAGCAGTGGAATCGGTGTCAGTACAAAACCAACTATCTTATTTAAAGACAACATTACATGCGTCGTTACAAATAAAGGCATATCATAAACGATATCAAACCTATTCCTCCAACGTTCCTTGTATATACAAAAGAGTTTTAGAAATAGATATTAAAGTGAAAAATGTTCGATCATATGACAATGTTATATATCTTAATTTTTACAAAGTCACTACTTAGGGCTTCTCCAAAGTCCAACCCATCATTTTTTTCCTCTAAATTTTATTATAGAGTAACAAACTCTCTACCCTACTATATAACTCACTCTAAAATAGACTAAATAATAAGATTACTCTATATTTGGAGTAACTCTATTTTTTACACTAAATTTTTTTAGAGAAAAAAGTAGAATGATACATTAAAGAGTTCCCTACTTTATTTTAGATTTACTATGGACCTGCTCGTTACAGAGTCGCCAGCGACACGCATGGCCGGCTTAGAGCATGTGCTCAAAGTGCCAAAGCACTGGCTCTTTTTTTTTTTGAAAAAAAATTCTTTAGATAAAAGAGCCTTAAATTTTAAAAATTAATAGGAAAGGGTCCATATTTTTGAATTTCTATGTAAGATTTGACTTTTTTTAGATTTGGGCACAAGGTCCAATATAATTTTGAGACGGGTCTGGCGACACGTACGGCGACTAAAATTTGCACTTAGTTTCTCTTTTTTATGTCGCACCAGCATTTTCTTTTATTTAATTTCTTCATGACAACTCCAATTTAAGTGTCGCTGGAAAATCCAGCGTCGTCTTTATTAGAATATGAGTAGAATTGGTTTACTTTGGTTATTGTATCTGGTTTAGTTCTTTAGTATATAAGCTTAACCATGTACACATTTTACGATTGAGGAAGTAATAACAGAAATATCTTATCTTCTTCTTCCTCCTTCGCTCTCTCCTTCCATGGAGATTCTCGATTACTAACATGGTATCAGAGCGTTGAGCCCAAGCTCAACCGATTCATGACCTAAATTCTCCGGCGATTCAACTCCGATCTCGATTCCGGTCCGTTCGAAGATTACGGCGTCGTACGGTCAATTTCGAAGATTTGAGCTTGATTTTCGTCAAGATTGGAGTTCATGATGCGATTTCAGCTTGTTGTAGTCATCTTTCTTCTATCCATTGATCGTGTGTTTCCTCCGATGACGAAGAAACGATCCAAACCCAGAAATCGCAACTCAACTACTGATCCAGAGAATGTTTCACCTCGCCCTAGTAGATCTCGTTCGCATCGAGAGATTTCGTGTCGTGATTCTTCTTCGATTGTTATCAATCGTGTTTCTTCTGGATTTGATGGTTATATCTTTGGATCTCTATCTCGACCACCGGAGAATTGTTCCGATTTGCTTCCGCGATGCAATTTTGTTGGTTTGGTACAATTTCTGAAATCTCTCTTTAAGCGTATAGCTTCTAGATATATCTCTGTCGATGATGTTGTTTCAATATGGAGATTTTTGGAATGTG